TGGATCAGCATAGCTCTGGCCATTGCGGCCAACTGGGGAGTGAACCAGCAGATGGAAGACCTCTCTCTCTCTGTCTCTACCTCTCTCTGTAACTCTGTCTTTCAAGGAAATAAAATAAATCTTTAAAAAAAAAAAAAGACCCATATATTGGGTCATTTGATAGTATCCTGTAGATTTCACTTTTTTTTTTTTTTTGATTGGACTGTAAAATTTCAGATTTGTCTTCTAACTCGGATGTTCTTTCTTCTGCCTCACCAAGCCTGTTCTTAAGGCTTTCCACCATATTTTTAATTTGTTCTATTGAATTCATTTTGTTTTGATTTCTCTTTAAAATCTCAATTTCGGCCGGCACCGTGGCTCAATAGGCTAATCCTCCACCTGCGGCGCCGGCATACCAGGGTTCTAGTCCCGGTCGGGGCACTGGATTCTGTCCCGGTTGCCCCTCTTCCAGTCCAGCTCTCTGCTGTGGCCCGGGAGGGCAGTGGAGGATGGCCCAAGTGCTTGGGCCCTGCACCCGCATGGGAGATCAGGGGAAGCACCTGGCTGCTGGCTTTGGATCAGCGCGGTGCGCCGGCCGCAGCACACTGGCTGCGGTGGCCATTGGAGGGTGAACCAATTGGTAAAGGAAGACCTTTCTCTCTGTCTCTTTCTCTCTCTCTCACTGTCCACTCTGCCTGTCAAAAAAAAAAATCTCAATTTCATGGGCAAAATTTTCGTTCCTGTCATGTATGGATGTCTTCAATCATGAATTTGCTTCTGATTACTTCTAAGTGGTCCTACGATCAATTTTTTGAATTCCATTTCTGGCATTTCTTCAGTCTCGTCATCTTCACAATCTAGTATTGAAGTGTTGTGTTCTTTTGGGAGCATCATATTGTCTTCCTTATTCTGGTTTCTTGAATAGTGTGCTTATTATTAGGCATATGTGGGCCGGCGCCGTGGCTCAATAGGCTAATCCTCTGCCTAGCGGTGCCAGCACCCCAGGTTCTAGCCCCGGTCGGGGCGCCGGATTCTGTCCTGGCTGCCCCTCTTCCAGGCCAGCTCTCTGCTGTGGCCAGGGAGTGCAGTGGAGGATGGCCCAGGTGCTTGGGCCCTGTGCCCCATGGGAGATCAGGAGAAGCACCTGGCTCTTGCCATTGGATCAGCGCGGTGCGCCGGCCGCAGCACGCTGGCCCGCGGTGGCCATTGGAGGGTGAACCAATGGCAAAGGAAGACCTTTCTCTCTGTCTCTCTCTCTCTCACTGTCCACTCTGCCTGTAAAAAAAAAAAAAAAAAACAACAATGAAAATTATGGCCTTGTGCTAACACAAGCTTCAAAGCTGATCACAGGAGCTTAGTAACAATGTCTATTTCCTGTTCCTGTTTCTCAGCTGGCCATGTGTCTTTTGTTAACCACTTGAGGTTCATATAATAATGGCTAACACACTTATTGGGCACATGACAAATGGTGTAGGCATGGTGCTAACCCTTTATTTGCATTGGGTTTTTGCATTTACTTTTCATACCATCCCAAAGAGGGAGAAGCTGAGTGCCTTAGGGATAAAGTAATCAAGGCTTGGGGATCTTGGTCATGACCACCTAGCTCTACCAAACAAATCCAGCCACGACAGTTCTTTGGTGCCCTGAACAGGGACTCCCTGTAGCCTCCTTCCGAGTCCAGGTGATGTAGACTTGTGTCAACAAAAACATGCATCTCACCTGAGTACTCACCTGACATCCCTGCCCTGGAACTGCCAATACTTTTAGTCCTGATGAATTTCATCCAATTTTCTCCCCTTAGTTTTGCCTCACCCATTCATTTCCATTTCCAGGACTGTTTGTCTTGCACGATACATAGTTATCAGGAAACGCTTGTTTTCCCAGTGTTAAATGAAACTCATATCTATGTTTATCATCCTTGCTGTTCCAGCTTGCCTAGCTTTAGTGATACAGTTTTTAGTTCAATTTAGAGGCAGCTTGCAGAGGAACTGGCTCAGCATCCATCATTTACATGTTGATGTGTGACATCGGCAAATTACACTGGTGATGTCTGATAATACAGTATCTGTAATACCCTTTTCCTCTGGTTTTCTGAAATGGTGACACAAACCTTTCATCACCTTGCTTGATCTTTTCCTGGAAAAAGCTCATGTTTGTAGAAAGATCTGAAATGCACAGTTTCTCATTGTTTTTCCCTTTTTATGGCAATTCTTCCTTAAAATGAAGTGTGGTACAACTAGTTTCCACTTGGGAACCTTCTAATTAAGAAACATAGGGAGAAGCCAGTGGTCAAAATACCTGTGTATTTGTGAATAATGAAGTAACACAGAAATAGAAAGTAATGTAAATGTGTATAAATAAGACACTAGTTAACCAAATTCCACACTATTCATAGGGGCGAACGTCTGGCCTAGCAGTAATATACTTGTGTCCCACATCAAAGGGCCTGAGTTCAAGCCCTGGCTCGGGCTCCTGATTCCAGCTTCTTGCTAATGCACACCCTTGGAAGTAGCAGTGATGCTTCCAGTGGTCGGGTTCCTGCCACCCACACGAGAAACCTGCACTGAATTCCTGGCTCCTGACTTGGGCCCTGCCTGGGCCATTGCAGGCTTTTGGGGAGTGAGCCAGCAAGTGGGAGCTCACTCTGTCTGTGTCTCCCTCGGCCTCTCTAATTAATTAGTTAATTAATTATATGCCATCCATATGTTGGAGTATCATGTCACTGTTAAAGACATATTTTAGAGCCATTTATAAAGGTATAGGAGCACTGTTTATAATGGATTAAGTGAAAAAGCAATTAATAAAGTAATGAGTTATTCCTTAAACTGTGAGTCGTGTAGATGTATATTTTTTGTTTCTTAGTATAAAATATTTTCTTTCATTTTTATTGTTGGATTATTATGTTGATATTATTGTGGACAGAAGACATGGCCTTTTAGAATATTAGTTATTTGGAATTTGTTGAAATTTCTGATTTGGTGCAGGTTCAAAAATTGTAAATATAAATGAATTCCTCATGAGAGTAATGTGTGCTTGGTAAGTGCTTGGTAGCTGATTCTGTCTATGTGAACATGCATGTCGGATCACAAGACCGTAGTCTCCACTTGTCTTTGGGGATATGTTCCAAGACCTCCAGCACGAGACACCTGAAACCATGGGTAGTCCTGAGTCCTGTATACACTTTATCTGTGTGACTATGATAAAGCTTCATGTATAAATTAGCTTAGGAAGAGATTAACAACAATAACCAATAACAAAACAGAATAAGCATCATAATACACTATAATAAAAGTTATGTGAATGTGGTCTCTCTCAAAATATCTTCTTGCACTTTTACCTTTTCACTTAAAGAAAGCACTTTGTGGTTTCTCTCTGGCACATGTGAATTGCCACTGCCACCACTCTGGTACTTTGGCAGCCCTCATTAAGGAAGCTAAGGATGACTTGAACACAAAACTGAGATGGCTACCGAGTGACTGACAGGTGGGTGGTGTATGCAGTATGGATACTCAGGATACTCATGCCCCAGCTGGGATAACATGAGGCTTCATCATGCTATCCAGACGGCTCACTCATGAGTGGTTTATTTCCATAAATTTCCCTTTATTTATTTCAGACCGCAGTCCATCTTGGATAACTTAACCTATGGGAAATAGAATCTCAGATAAGGGGGAACTACTGAAATATAGCTGCCTGCATATGTGTCTCTGTGTATCAGTGTCTATAGACCATCACGGCTATATGGATGCACACATTTACATGTATATGGTATACACACAAAGTGTGGATATAGTCTATGTATACATGCAAAGATTTATAGGCATGCGTGTGTGTAAGTGTATGTATAGCTCAGACTAAACCTATCAATAGTGTTATTCTTTAATTCTTGACACAGTTCCTTTCTGCTTGATATCTCAGTTAAAGGGAGGACTTTATTGGAATCTTCCAGTACTGCTATAGATTTGTTGATTTCCCTTAGTAACTTTCCCTGTTCACATACATCATAATTATTGTGTATCAAGTACATGTGTTAGGTAAGTGACACTTAATGCTGGTGGTTGCTCTTGAGGGTTATTCCTCTCAGGAATGTTTCTCCATTCCCATTGATTTTCACCTTGGATTATATTTTTACCAATATCAATATTGCTATTACTAACTTTCTGTTGGTTCCTATTTACCTAGAATTGTTTTTTCCATTCCCACCTTTCAGACTTTCTAGATCAGTGGATGGTATGTCTGTTACAAATAGTACATGGTTGAATGTTGGGTTTAAATCCAATCTGAGAATCTTTGTGTTTTAATAGTGAGCAAGCAGAATTGTTTAGTCTGCCCTATGGGGCTGGCACTGTGGCATAGTGGGTAAATCCACTCCCTGTGGTGCTGGTTCAAGGCCCAGCTGCTCCACTTCCAATCCAGCTCCCTGATGATGTATCTGGGAAAGCAATGGAGGATGGCCCAAGTACTTGGGCCCCTTCACCCGCATGGGAGACCTGGATGAAGCTCCTGGCTCCTGGCTTTGAACTGGCCTAGCTCCAACTGTTGAGGCCAATTGGGGCATGAACCAATGGATAGAAGATTGCTCTTTCTCCCCCTCCTCTCTCACTGTAACTCTGCCTCTCAAATAAATAAATCTTTTTTTTTAAAAAAATCTGTGCTCATGTCTTTTCAGGTTTTTTTTTTTATTATTTTCCATGACTTTATCTCTCTTAGATTTGTTCAGGATAATTTCATCAGGTTTCTCTCCCAATTCTCTAAGTTTATCTTCAATACTATCTCACCAACTCTCCTGTTTATCCCTTTTTTTTTGTTTTTTACTAAAAGAACAACCATTCATTTATATATTTTATTTGTAAATGTTTACACCAGAACAGTGAAACTAAAGTTTAGAGACAGTGGGTGTCATTATTTTAGATAGCATTAGTTCACTATAAAAGAGAGAGACATAGGAGTTATCTACATGATGAAAAGATTTCAGAACTTCAGTGCAATGGGAAGCTTCGTGTGATGCTGTTTCAGAGATTTCAATCTACATATTTTCCAAGAACGTCACCATCTCTAAATAGAAAATAATCCTTGTCGTCTAGAACTACTTTAGTGCTTCCATATTCTGGAAGAAGAACTTTATCGCCAGCTTTCACACTAACTGGTTGAATCTCTCCACCCTTTCCCTTAGAGCCTGATCCAACAGCTACTACCGTTGCTTGCAATACTTTTCCTTGAGATTTTGCAGGGAGCATAAAGCCTCCCTTGGTTACCGTTTCTGTGGCGTTCCTCTCCACCAAGACCCCATCAAAGAGCGGAAGAGACTTCCTAAATGCCTGTCCCGCCATGGCCCAGCGCCACAGCTCCTGCTCCGCTCTCACGCCGCCACTCCAAGGAGAGGCCCGCAGCCTGACCTCCTGTTTATCCCTACCTATTGAGTTTCATAATTAAATGCTAGGGTCTTTGTTTTTCTTCTTTTAAAAAAAAAAAAAACACTATTTATTTATTTATTTATTTGAAAGTCAGAGTTACACAGAGAGAAAAGGAGAGGCAGAGAGAGGTCTTCCGTCATCCGCTGATTCACTCCCCAATTGGCCGCAACAGCCGGAGCCGCGCCAATCCAAAACCAGAAGCTGGGGGCTTCTTGCAGGTCTCCCATGTGGTGCTGGGGCCCAAGGACTATGGGCCATCCTCTACTGCTTTCCCAGGCCGTAGTGCAGTGCTGGATTGGAAGTGAAGGAGCCGGGACTTGAACCTGAGCCCACATGGGATGTCAGCACTGCAGGCTACGGCTTTACCTGCTGCGCCACAGCGCCGGGTCTTTGTTTTTCAAATCCACCTAATGTGATTTCATAATATCATGCTATTTTAATAATATGTGTCTATCTCTTTAAGCAATTAAAATGCCTAATTTATAAAGTTACAAACATTGTGGTTTTTTTTTTTTTCAAGATTTATTCATTTTATTTGAAAGGCAGAGTTAGAGAGAAAGAGACAGAGAGAGAGAGATCTTCCATCCACTGTTCACCTCTCAAATGCTCCAATGGCCAGGGCTGGGCCAAGCCAAAGCCAGGAGCTAGGAGCTTTATCCTGGTCTCCCATGTGGGGACATGGGCCCAGGTACTTGTGCCATCTTCCTCTGCATTCCCAGGCACATTAGCAGGGAGCTGGATTCAAAGTGGAGCAGCTAGGACTCAAATGGGGGCCCACAGGGATACCTGTGTTATTGGTGGCAGATTAACTCACTACGACACAATGCTGGCCCCAGAAACATTGTTCTCTCAAGTCTTATTCCTCAAGTTTGAATTTTACTAGCTGCCTAGGCTGTAGGTTTTTTTTTTTTTTTCTTGGTATGTCACTATTTTTTATGGTTTTGAAACATGGTCTCCTTTTGCGTAGGCATTAGCTCCTTTGTGCTGGATATCTCCTGAGGAAAAGTTTTAGGAATATTTCTGTCCAGGCCTTAGGGGGCAGCTAATTTTTATATTTGCGTATTGGCTGAATTTTCATTTTGTACAATAGCTCAAAATGAATACTCATATACAGGATTGGGCTCAGCATCCCAACCTTTCTCAGCTATCTCTCAACTCAGGGGTGTAGCATTAATGTTAGTGCTAGATTCTTGTCTGAATTTCGGAATTCAAAGCACACATTTTTGGCCAGTTCTTGCAGGCAATCTGTCATCAGATCCTATGGGATTAAACATTTGCTTGTATGGGTTTGCCATTTTATAACTTAAACATCCATCAACACACTAGGATCTACTGGGAGTCCTTGGCCACGTGGAGATCAAGAGTTCTCAAACACCATTGCTGACTTTGGAGCTGAGTGCCTTTTGTTGGGATAGGGCACTAGGTCCGATGTTTAGAGTGTGTTTGTGTTTGGCCTGTACCCACTCAAAGCCAGGACCAAATACTTCCTCCCTTCCTTGTGATCATTGCCATTGCCAGGCGTTGCCACATGTCCCCGAGGGAGAAAATCACCTCCTGTTGAGCACTGCTACTAGAGGGAAATGGCAAGTTCCCTTTTAAAACTGCTGACTAAGGCTGAGTTTTGCTGAGTCAGAAAACACATTCACTTAATCTTTAATGTGTACAAGGCACTATGTGCATGCAGAAGCAGTTTAATTTAGGCACAGAGAAAGAAAAGCATGGTCTATGCAGTGTTCTCATGAATCCGTCTATGGTATATGATGACATTTTAACAGTGAGTCTCAGTCTATACAATGGAGACAATCACACTTCTAAAAAAAAAGATTGATTTATTCATTTGAAATAGAGAGATCTTTCATCTACTGGTTCACCCTCCAAATGCCCACAACATCTGAGATGGACCAGGCTGAATCCAGGAGCCCAGAATCCATCCAAGTCTCCCATGTGGAGAGTAGGGACCCAAGAATTTGAACCACCATCCACTGCTTTCCCAGGTGCATTAGCAGCGAGCCAGATCAGAAGCGGAGCATCTGGGACTCCAACCAGCACTCTGATATGGATGCTGGCGTCACAAGTGGTGGCTTAACGTACTGTGCCACAATGCAGGCTCTGCTCTGTCCTTTCAAAACTTTTAAGGGGATGTGTGTGACAGGGTCACACACTGCCAACACGCAATTAACACTCAACAAATCGTAGGTTTTATTATTATCATTGTTAACTGAGCTCATGCACACAAATGATTTTTTTTTTTATTTTCATCTACTTGAAAAGCAGAACAGCAGAAAGGGGAAGGAGGAGAGAGAGACAAAGAGAGATCTCACATCCACTGGTTCATTCCCCAAATGCCTGAAATAGCCAAGGCTGGGCCAGTCCAAAGCCGGGACCCTGGAGGTACATCCAGGTCTCCCATGTGAGTTGCAGGGGCCCACTGTCTGCTGCCTCCCGGGATGCATTAGCAGAAAGATGGATTGGAAGCAGAGTAGCTGGACTCAAACTGGCACTCAGTATGGATGGTGGATGTGCCACGTGGCGGCTTAACCAGCTGTGACAACAGCCACCCCGAGCTCATGCGTTCAGACCAGGGCCATTGTGAAATGGTTTTTTTCTTTATTTTCTTTTTTTTATCAGAACAACCTCAGAGTCCATGAACAAATAAACAAGCAAGCTTTTGAGAGTTAAAGAAAATCATATGAACCGAACCAGTGCTTGGACAGTAGCTAGGTTCCTAGTCCAAGCCCTTTGTGTGTGTCTAGGGCTCAGCGGCCTCTGCCACTGTGCATGGGTTATACCCGCTGCTTGTGTCTAAGATGGCATCTAGATTGTACCATGCAGGAATGAATGAACGCAAGGCAACCCCTTCAGCCTGGTTCTCTATCTGCTTTAAACTATCTCCATCTGAGCAGGCCAAAACCCAGGAATCCTGCTTCTCCCTTCACAGTGTTCTGAACAAGGTCCTTCTATGGCTTTCTAAGAATTAATTACAGAGCTCAGTGAAGGCGCCTGCCACAGATTCCCATGGATAGCTTTATGAGCAATTCCAGCAGCTGCTCTGTTGCTAGCAGAATAAGGACCTCCTCAGAGGCCAGTTTAGAAAGAGAGAATTGGTTTGTGCCAGTTGTTGGCACTAGGGCTCCCATCCACACTGGCGGGAGAATTTAAAGTCGGAAAGCAAGAGGAGATAGACTGCCTTCACACAATGTCTGCTTTAGTGGGCACTTGAACACCTGGACTTGTGTGATTAGGGGGACAGAGAGAGACAGAGAGAGACAGAGGGACAGGGAGAGACAGAGAGAACACCTGGACTTGTGTGATTAGGGGGACAGACAGAGACAGAGGGAGGGAGAGAGAGGGAGAATCATTCTTGTATGTGGCGATGGGAGCCCTGGGAGGGAAGGAACCAGCACGGAGTGCGTGGGGCAGACTCCGAGGCTGTGGCCGCTGGCGTGGGCTCCCTTGCTCTGTGGGATGCAGCCGTGCACACAGGGACTTCACCCAGCAGCCCCCAGGGTGAGTGCCTGGCAGCACGTGGGCTCCAGGAGGGAAAGCAGACATGGCTGTTCCCACAACCGAGAACAGATTTACACATGGAACTTGCTGCCCTTGATGGTTTTTAGATTTCTTGGAGTCTTTAAAAAAAATAAACAATTTCAAACAGTCCTTTGGCTCTTATTTCTTCCTCTTTTTGCATCTTTGGGAAAATGCACTTCTCTGTCTGGATGGACTGCCTGTCTCCCCCAGCTGCTGTCCCCTAGCGTCGCCCGAGGTGCTCTCGTCCTGTCCCTTGGCTTTCAGAGAATTCCCAAGTCCATCCCAGATCCTCCTCCAGGCCTCCAGGCCCAAACCTAACAGCCTATTAAACCCCTGTGCCCCGATTACCAATTGGACCTCAAACCCAACCACCATGACATCCTGCAGTCACCACTACACATCAGCCACGCCCACATCCTCCCCCTCCCAGGCCAGGGTGGACCCAGCCTTGCAGCTGCTCAGGAGGAAAACCTCTGTATCATCCTGGGACCTTCTCTTTGGCTTATACTCCACCCCACTCCCCAACCCAGCCTCCTCCTCTCCTCTGGCAGGAAACCTTGTGGCCTCCAGCACCCTCCCGTTTCTCCCACCTCCCGTCTGCCACCCTGCCCTGGGATTCTGTGGTTTCCCCACTGGATGTACGCAGAGAGACACTTTCATACCTCCTGCCTGGTCTGATGGCCTCTGCTCTGGCCCCCGCAGGAGGTTTGCAACACAGCAGCCAGAGGGCAGAGGGGTCCTTTGAAAATCCAAGTCTTATTACATGTCCCTCTGCCCATAACCACCCCAGGCTCCCCCTTCACACAGAACAAGGTTGGGAGCCAAAATTCTTCCCATGGACTACAAAACCCCACATGGAGTGGGCATGGAGGTTAAGACACCACCTGGGACGCCCATATCCCGTAGGGGAGTGCCTGGCTCTGATTCCTGGCTCCACTCCATTCCAGCTTCCTGCTAGTGTGCACCCTGGGAGGCAGCAGGTGATAACTCATTACCTGGGTCCCTGCCACCCAAGTGGGAGACCCAGGTTGAGATCCTGGCTCCTTGCTTTGGCCTGGCCCAGCCCTGGTGTTGCAAGCAATTGGGGAGTGAACTGGCAGATGGAAAATCTCTCTCCATCTACCTTTCAAATAAGATTAAAATAAATAATAAATTATTTTTTTTAATTTCTGCATTGAGACTGCACAGGATCTGCACACCGCCTCCCACCACTGCTGCTCTCGGATTCATTGTACCCTGTTTTGCTCTTGCTCTCTCTGCTCAGCAAGACTGGCACCTGACTGCGCTTCCCTTACTTACTCCTCTGCTGCAAACCACCCCACTCCCAGGCATCCACAAGGGGGAGGCTTAAATATTCCCAATGAGGCCTTCTTCCTTCTCCTTCTTCC